GACAGCACTACAACAGCTGCTGCTGCAGCAACAGCAGCAGCTGCTGCAACACGACCACCACCACCACCAACACCAGTACGAGCCAGAGCAGCAGCGCAAAAGCAGCAGCAGCAGCAACAGTAGCAGCAGCAACAGTAGCAGCACCAACAGCAGCAGCAGCAGCAGAACAACAGCAGCAGCAGAAGTATCTCACGATGATAGCGAGCTTCATCTTTAGAGAGTTTAGGAAAAGGAGTTCATTAGAGGCCCCCTTCCAAGCAGGGTCTACGCCAAAAGGATAGGGGCCCCCTGCAACAGGCTCCGGGGGGCCCCCCTCCTTAGAGGGGCCCCACCGCGAGCCGAAGAGATTAATACCCATGCTGAAGACATCGTTGTACATAAACCCCGCGTAGATAGAATGCAAAGCCATCAACAAGATCAAATACCTGCACAAACCACAAACCCTAAACCATAAACCACAAACCCTAAACCCTAAACCCTAACAAACGCTCCATCCGCATCTTTCCTAGCCGCTATCCAACCCCCAAACCCTAAATACACCCCATAAACCACAAACCCTAAACCCCAAACCCTAACAAGCATTCCACTCGCTTCTTCTTCATGCGCTAGCAAACTTGCCGCTACCCCTAAACCCTAAACCCTAAAGCCTAAACCCTACCCCCAACTAACCCACAACCCCTTTCCCCTACCCCGTACCCCCCAAACCCTAAACCCTACCCCCTGTCCTCAACTAACCCCTAACCAGTCCCCACTACCCACTACCCCCTACACCCAAAGCCCTAAACCCTAAACCCTAAACCCTGCGTACCGCGCTTCTACGAGCATGCAGAGGAGTTCATCAGTAAAGACGTAGCCTCTGCTGCGGCACCAGAGGAGCGCAGCGGCGAGCAGCAGCAGCAGCAACCCATGCCCAACATCTCCAAACATAAGACCGAAGAGGAAAGGAAAAATAGCAGCAGCAAACAAAGCAGGGTTTGCTTCACCATATCGGGCTACACCGTAAGTGTCTACTAAACCCTGAAATGAAGACATAAAGGAACAGCGAGAAAAACTCGTAGGAGGGCTCCGCAGCCCCAAACCCTCTGATGCATGCACCAGAAGAAACGCTGATGTGCTCTGCAAACAACAAACCGCACAACAACACAAACCACAAACCCTAAACCCTAAACCCTGAAGAAGAAAGACAGACCCCAAAATGTAAACCCTAACGCAAGAATACACGCCTTAAAAACTAGACCTTAAAGTAGAAAGGCATACACTAAACACTAAACCCTGAACCCTAAAGCAGAGATACGCACCCCAAATCCTAAACCCTAAACCCTAAACCCTAGGGCGGAAATACACTCCGCAAACTTGCATCGCTTTTCAAGTGTCTTAACCCTATACCCTCTAAACCCTAAACCCCAAACCCCAAACCCTACCTTTTCAGCGGCAACCTGCGCGAGAGTCTTTCTTAGTGCTGCTTCCTCCGCCTCCAGGAACCAGCAATCTGCTTGAAGAGTTGCATCAGAGAGAGCAAAGAGGTTTAGAGTTGTATATACAGCTCGTTCCCTTTCAACAAAGCGCTGCAGCTCTGTAATAAGAGGCCTGCGGCGGACGCCTGCTGCTGCTGCAGCTGCTGCTGCTGCTGCTGCAGTCAGATCCCCCTCAGCAGCAGCTGCTGCTGCTGCTGCTGATGCTGCAGCAGGGATCAAAGGAAGGTTAGATGCGGGAACTGCCTCCAGGAAAACCCCAACTTCATTCAAAAAGTACTGCTCGTATGCTGCTGCTGCTGCTGCTTTATCTCGCAGCAGCTGCTGCAGCTGCTGCTGCCGTTGCTGCGCCTCTGCTCCGCTGTGCGGCCAGTTGTATGTACGCGCCCCCATTGCCGAGCAAACGCACTTCACCTAATACACCAACCCAAAACCCTAAACCCTAAACCCTAAACCCAGAGTTCGTACGGGTCACAGGGGTTTACGGGGTACAAGAGTCTAGGGTTTACAAGGGTTTAGCGTTTAGAAGATTTTATGGTTTACAAGGGTTTAGGGGTTGCAAGGACTTAGGGTTTGCAAGGGTTTAGGGTTTGCAAGGGTTTAGAGTGTGCAAGGGTATAGGGCATCGGTACGGTTTAGGGTTTACAAGGGTTTAGGGTTTACAAAGGATTAGGGTTTACCTTCTCCATGAAAGCAGACCCCGTCGCAGCTCCCTGGAAGTAGGTTACAAAAAGCGACTTGGGCTCTTCCCCGTGGGGCTGCACAGACAAACCCTAAACCCTAAACCCTAAACCCTAAACCCTAGGCTGGTAATGCTGAGCGTTGAGCTGGATGTCCTGCCATTGATCGCTTGATCACAGCAATAGTGCCTAGACCCTAAACCCTAAACCCTCATATAGGGTTTACGGCTAAGCTAGGGTTTAGGGTTTAGGTAGGGATTAGGGTTTGCGTAGGGCTTAGGGTTTACGTAGGCTGTAAGTTCTTCCTCCTCTAATCGTTTGAAGTGTGTAAATGCATTTCCTCGTGTAGACCGAAACATTGCTCGAGCAAACCGCTCCTGCACACAAACCCTAAACCCTAAACTCTAAACCCTAAACGGATATCTGGAGCAAGCAGCGAGTTCATTTGCTTCTCCTGCAAGAAGGGGGTCTGTTGGTAAGCCCGGCTCTCGTGTGCCCGTCCAAACCCTAAACCCTAAACACTAGACCCTCAATAAGGGTTTAAAAGGTTCACCTGATCCTTAGCAGCGACAATGCCAGCGACAGAAGAAAACACCAAACTGCTCATCTCTCCGCTCTCCAGCCCCCCTAAACCCCCCGCGCTCAACAACCGCCTCGAAGCTGAATAAGGGAAGGTTTGCTGCTTCTCTTGCTGCTGCACGTCCGCCTGCCAGCTGCTGCTGCTGCTGCTGCCGCTGTTGCTGCTGCTCAGCTGCGTCGGCCGCCTCCGACGGGCCGAAGAGGAGCTGCACATACACCGCAACAATAGCAGCAACAACAGCTGTCTGTACACCCCATACCTCCGTATCAGCATATTCGCACTTCTATACGGGAACTTTCAAACCCTAAACCCTAAACCCTAATCGACAGAGCCTTGGATCAACTGCCTAAGCGGAAACCCGCTCCAGCAGCAGGACCAGCAACAGCAGCAGCAGCTGTTGCAGCAGCAGCAGCAGCACCAACAGTGGCTGTGTACCGCGCGTGAGCGTCTGCGGTGGCTGCGCTGGGAGTGTTGGTTTGCTGCTGCTGCTGCTGCTGCTGCAGCGTGTTGCTGCTGCTGCAGGTGCTGGTCGCTGCTATTTTAGGGTCCTCAGCAGCAGCTGCTGCTGCTGCTGCAGCTGCTGCTGCTGCTGACCCGGGATCGAGGCGCCACGGGGATCGAAGGGAAGACCTCAACTGCGAAGCAGCAAAGGAAACCACCGCCAGCTCCTCCTCCTGCAGCACAGCAAGCAGCAGCGGCAGCAGCAGCAGCACCCACAGGAATAGCAGCGGCAGCAGCAGTACGAACAGCAGCAGCAGCAAAAGTAGCAGCAACAAACACAGAACATGGCCTTCAGTTTGGCAACAGCATACACAGAACCCCAACAGGCATTGCAGCAGCAGCTGCTGCTGCTGCAGCAACCAGCAGCAGTTGCCGCGACAGCAGCAACAGCAGGAGCAGCAGCAGGCAGCAACAGCACCACCAGCAGCAACAGCAACAGCAGCAACAACAGCAGCAGCAACAGTAGCAGCAGCACCAGTTAGCCCCAGCAGCAGGAGCAGAAGCAGCAGCAGCGGCAGCGCTAGGAACAGCACCATCACCAGTAGGAGCAACAGCAGCAACAGCAGCAACAGCAGCAGCAATGAGTGTTTTGGGCTTACTGCGGCGATTTTCTCTCTCTGCAGGTCTTGGTTATTTTGTGCGAAGCGCAGGAACTGCCTGTACACCTTATTAAGCATGTCTTCAACTCGATCTAGCACATACACTTGAGGCTTTTCTGCTGCTGCTGCTGCTGCAGCAGCACTTGCTGCTGCTGCTGCGCCTCCGCCTGCTGCCTCGACATCTGCATGGTCCGCAGCTGCTGCAGCGTTGTAGACGGAAGCAGCGGCAGCAGCAGCAGCAGCATCTGCTGCTCTGTCTAGGTCTTGCGCAACATGAACAAGGCGTACACCCGAAATATCTTCTATTTTTTCTTTAAGGTATCGAAGTATTCGCTCTAACTCCTCCAGCCGCTGCAGCTGTCGTCGATAGCCGCGAGACAAACTCATCCCATTCATCTGAGACACACACGCATGCGCATGCACATGCTGCTGCTGCTGCTGCTCCTGCTCCTGGTGCTGTCGCTGCTGCTGGCGCCGCTGCTGCAGCTGCTGCGGCTGCTGCTTCTGCTGATCACGCTGATGTTGCTGCGGCTGCAGCGCGTGATCATGCAGCTGTTGTTTTCACTATGTTGCGGCTGCTGCTGCGGCTGCTGCTGCTGCTGCTGCTGCTAATGATTATGTGGAAGGGCCGGGAGCAGCACCAAACAGCAAATAGTTTCGGAAGGCTCACGCAAAACCCTAAACCCTAAACCCTAAACCCTTACGTCTTCTATCTGCACTTTTACAGCCGTCCCAATAGCGACAATGAAATCTCTCGCCCCCTCTTGAGGCAGAACAAGCGTGCCAAGCCGCATGGGCTGCAAGCAGCAACAAGCCCTAAACCCTAAACCCTAAACCCTAAACCCTAAGCCTGAACCCGAATCCCTCAACCCTAAAGCCTCCCAATGCACCCCACTGAGGGTTTAGGCTTTCATGATTAGGGTTTGTGTTACCGCACCTCAGATCTAAACAACCCCATTTTCGCTGGAAGTCGGCGATTCCTGCTGCTTCTGCTGCTGCTCTGCTGCTGCTGCTTCTGCTACTGTTGCTCCTTCAATTTCGGCCCCTTCTGCTGCTGCTGCTGCTGCTGCTGCTGCTGCAGTCGTTGCTGTTGCTGCTGCGCAGCAAACAGCGAATTCCCGTGGACTTCCGCTGCTGCTGCTGCCGCCGCTGCTGCTGCTACCTGTTGTGTATATGCTCTCGCTGCTGCTGCTGCTCTGTTCCGAGCTGTAAGACCTGCTAAATCCTTGCGCTGTTACAGACATCGCTGCTGCTGCTGCTGCTGCTGCTGCTGTCTGCGGCCAGCAAAAGCAGCAGCAGCCTTGAAGACTCAAAAACAACTGTGCTACCTGAAACGGAAGACTAGGAATACGAATTTTCGCTGCGCTGCTGCTGCTGCCTGTCCTGCCTCACACGAAGTATTGGGCTGCTGCTGCTGCTGCTGCTGCTGCTGCGGCTCCAGGACGCCATAGGGGTGACTAATATTGTCACCCTAATAAATACAAATAAACTGAAAAGTTTCGGGTTTTCTCCACCAGCTTTTGCTGCTGCCGGCCGCTGCTGCGAAAGGCACTGCTGCAGCCGCAGCAGCCCGCGCTGCGCTGCTGCTGCTGCCGCCTCCTAGCAGCAGCAGCTGCTGCTGCTGCTGCAAGCTGCTGGCGCAGAAACTCTCAAGCCCCGAGGCTCTCCTTTTTTCTTTCCCCCGTACACTCTGTTTTCACAGGACACTAAACCCCAAGCAGTAAAGCCTAAACCCTAAACCCTAAACCCCCGGGTGTCTGCACACTTGGGTTCGTCCCCCCCTCTCTTGTCCTGGCGGAGCGCAGACAGCGCAGCAGCAGTAGCAACAACAACAGCAACAACAGCAGCGCGGAGATCTGCTGCTGCGGCACCTTCGGCATTAGCAGCACGGCTCGCAGCTGCAGCGGCGAACCACCACAGCAGCAGCAGCCGCAGCAGCAGTAGCAGTAACAACAGTAGGAGTTGCTGCCTTCTCAGGAGCAGCACGAGGAGCACTTCCTCTGCATGCAGCATCAGGCTAACGGGCGTACAACAGGCCGGAACAGCAGCAACAACAACAACACTAGCAGCAGCAGCAGCAACAGCAACAGCAGCAACAACAGCCGCAGCAGAAGATGTACCGCAATTTGTATGACACAGACTGCATCACTTGGTCTCCCCAAGGCCGAGTCTTTCAGGTGGAATATGCAAAACAGGCAGTAACGCAGGGCACCTGCTGCGTGGGGCTCAAGTCCGATTCTTACGTGGTAAACCCTAAACCCTAAACCCTAAACCCTTATTCAGCGAACCCCCAGCAGACGAAACCCTCCTTCCG